CCCCCCCCCCCCCCCCCCCGTGAGGGTCAACAGGAATGCTGATTTACCAACACTTAGGAGGCAAGGGCTGGGCAGCACAAGCGAACGAAGCTAATGGCGTAAAAGACGGCCATCAACACACCCCAACAACATCTGAAAAGCCACTTACCACAGGCGCCAAGGCGGGACTAGAACTCACCATCGCCTAGTGATTGGCCCAAAGTCACACCACCAGCTTCCATACCTAGGGCAGAACTAGAACTCACCCTCTGCTGGTTTCCAGCCCAGCGCCTTCCTTTCTAAACAAAACTGACGGTCAGTTTTGCAAGCCAAACGGGATCTGAACCCAGGATTCCCTGACCTCCATTCCCATTCGCACCAAACCAAATGACTTCCTCCCTGCACCAGCTCCATCTGGGATTTACACAGCTAAGAGGACATGGCAGGAGGCAGGAGAACCACGGATGATGGAGACTCAGTTGGACGTCTTCTTCTCCCTTCTTTGTCAGGATGACGACTTCTGCGAGAGAAGCGTTTGCAGGGCGCGTACAGGAGCAGTTAAAGCAGAGGTCCTCAAACCTGGCGACTTCAACTCCTAGAATCCTACTAAGATTGTTGGACGAGCAGGCCCAAAAACAGCCAGCTCTACCAGCTGGAGAATTCTGGGAGTTGAAGTCCACAAGCCTTAAAGTTGACAAGTTCGGGGACCCCTGGGTTAAAGAGAGCAAGTGGATCCTGAGTGAATTGGGCCTTGTTCAAACACGACCACAGAGGGATTTTCTCTCTGCCCCCCCCCTTCCAATCACGGATGATTACTAATGCACTTCCAGCCGCCCAGTCCGTGACTTTAAAACGAGAACACCCAGACAGGCAATGCGCAAAGGCTGAAATGGGATCCGTGGGTCCCCCCTCCCACCCCTCGCTCAGTGGGAGACGCCAGGGCTCCTCATTCTAACAAGCTTCAGATGCAAGAAGACTGGAATAACAAAGTATGAATTTTGATGAGTCTAATAAATCACGCCACTTTTCCCTGCTCTTCTCGTCCTTAGGCACTTCAAACGGCAGGGATGGAGGGGGGGTGGAGAGAATTAAATAAATAAAATAAGATAGAAAAAAATGCAGGCTGTAATCGAACAGCCTCCGAGATGAGATTCAGACATCCAGCCGTCGGTGGGGAAATCCTCTTTTTCGTTTGACCCAATTTGGGGGGGGAAGTGGACCATTTGGTAAAGGGGGAGGGGCTTGATCGCGTGGCCCTGGCGTGGAAAATGGTCATAAGTTACTTTTTACCCCTGTGTCGTAACTTCGAATGGCCGCTAAACGAATGATTTTAAGTCAAGGGCTGCTGATGACCATCATAAGTAAGATTATTTACTGGCTTTGCCGGCAGGCCTGGGGGTGATGAGTTCCCTCCCCTCTCGACATGTATGGTTGTTCGACTGTTGTCTACTTTTATTATTTGTATTTTGTCTTTTATGTTCCCCTTTTTTTCCCCCTTGAATTGTTCGCCGCCCTGAGTCCTCCCGGAGAAGGGCGGCATACAAATAATAAAATACAATGCAATACAATACAATATTTATTATTTGTTATTATCATTGTACCTCATACCATAAAATTAAATGCCATATTTAGTATACGTTATAACTATAAAAATAAAACAAGCACACGCAGCTTTCCCATTCTATACAATTGAATTAAAAACCTCTGATATTGCATTAATATTATAGTATACAGTAGAATTCAATATAGTGACTGCCCTGGGAAAGAAGCTGTTTTTCAGCCTAATCTTGTTTTTATTGTCCTGTACCGGCTGCCAGGTGGTAATAGTTCAAAAAAAAAAAAAAGGGTGCCCAGGATGAGAGGGATCTTTAAGAATTTTCTTAAGGCAGTGGGCGCTATAAAGCGTCATAAAAAAGGGTCATAAATTGCTTTTTTTTCCAGTGTTGTAGCTTCAAATGGTCGCTAAACGAATTATTTAAGTCAGGAGCTCACCATCATAAATACAACCCAGTTACCAAGTGTGCAAATTTTGATCACATGTCCACGAGGATGCTCGAACAGTCGTTAAGTGTGAAAAAGGATCGTCGTTTTTTTCTAGTGACGTTGTAATTTTGAGCTGTCACTAAACTAAAGTTTGTAGGAGTTCCTCTCCTTCATCCCGCAGCCATTTGACTTTAGAGAAAATCCCCCCCTTATTACCCACATTAAGAACTATAACGAATCTTTCCAGACTCTTTGGGGGGAATGAAGAATTTTTGCGGGCAAACCCTATTAACAGGAGATGGGATTAATCCGGAGTAATCTTCCGATGTTCAAAGCTTATTTGGACTATGAATTATTGGTTCTAAACCCCCCCCCCTCCCCAAATCTTAAAGACGTCACACAAATCCAAAATCTGATTTCCTAGCTGACATCAATACTTCTTTGCTAGAAAATTCTGGATTTGAGAGGAGATTTTGTCATAGGAGACAAACGGCCAGGCCCGGGAAAAAGTGACCGACACAGAAGAAAATATAAGATTTCCCCCAGGTACCATCCCCATAGAGTTCCCCAGATTTATTTTGCTAGTTGTCAGTATATTATTGTAGTTATTTGCTTCGCTCTGTTTTACTTCTTTTTAAATTTTGCTGGTCATTGTCCAAATAAATATCACTGATACACACACTGTATTTTACGGAACTCCGTCGAGATGTGACGGGGAAAAGAGATATTCTGGCTGCTAAAAAAATTATGAGGTGTATTTTGAAGCCACTGACTTACAAAGGACAATTGGGAGTGAAGGGGGAGTTAAAATATATATATATATATATTTCAAACTGCTGTCCTCCAGATGTGCCTGCCCTTAAATTCACGTCACTCCTGGCTAAAAACAACCTCTCAGGGGAAGGACAGGTCGCACAGGAGTGAATTAGAGCTAAATTTTTCAGCCGCTTCCATTTATTTTGAGGTATCTCAAAGGCGGGAGATCAAGCTACCACGAAGAGTCGTAAGGGGCAGTTTCGCTTTTGCGCCACAATGTTAAGCAAAGCTCGCATCTACAGGTGGATTGGATTTAGATTGGATTTATTACATTTATATGCCGCCCTTTTCCCCGAAGGGACTCAGGGTCCTTGACTTACCACAATTAATTTAGTGACCATTCAAAATTATGGCGACCCTGAAAAGAAGTGACTTACGACCGTTTTTCACACTGTTGCAGCCTTCCCATGACACATGGTCAAAATTTGGACACTTGGCAACTGGCTCATATTTATGATGGGGGCAGTGTCGTGGGGGGGGGGGCTGCAGAGTGTGCAAACTTTTTTTTTTAATTTACCTCTTCAAAATCTTGGTGCGTCTTATACTCTGGTGCATCTTATACTGCGGAAAAATACAGTCTCTCCCTTTGCAATGGAGAGGCTGGGCTCAATTGTGTCCATAAGTCGAGCGCTTCCTGTACGGTGGCTGCTCAAGCCCAGATCTCTTCTCGGGATCGATCTGCACATCACCCCTCGGCAATGCGCGCAGAGCCCGGCAGCTCGCTCGCTCGCTCGCGCACCATCGTGCTCCTTAAATCCATCCAATGTGTTTTTCACAGCCCACCACTTTTCATTTGTGTCTGCAGCAGAGCCCTGAATCAGGCAGGGAATTCGTCTTTGACAAACATTTACCGATTATCAAATCACAAGCGCGGCCCCCAGACAAGGGCCATAAGTCACTTTAAGCAGCCCCCCCCCTCAACCGCAGCGCAAAGCTTTTGGGCAGCCGCGCAAAGACAAATCGTGCCTGTCAACCTGGCTTGTTCCCTCGTGCGCCGGATCCGTGTCCTCCTCTATTCCACGCTACCTGGTGCTTAATGACAGGCCTGTCAGAAGACGACAGAGCGCCCCCCCCTCCCCTTACATCTGCGCTCTGTCAACACCCTATTAGAGGGAAGATTGAGACCCCACTCTTCTTAAACTCACTCAAGCAACACAACCTGCTAGTTTTTATAATTATTGTTGGAGAGCCATCGATCGCGGGCTGACACCTAACCTATCTGTATGAAATGGGAGTAGTTTGCCAGGTGACACTTCCCATAGATTATGGGTGGGTGGGTTTCTCACCCCCCACCCGAAGGTTTCAAAGTCTGCATCTCAAAGGAAGAAGACTCCTGCCCCAAACTCAAAAGACCCAGAGATTGTCAAAGGGTGACATTTCTCAGGCTTTATTTTGCAGTTTTAACTTATCCACCCTGGGAGGGAAATGTCCGTTATGATTTGGACTACAACTCCCAGGATTCCTGGGCTTGCTGGTTGGGAATTTTGGGAAGAGAAGGCCAAGGTCCCCAGGTGAAGCCAGGCGTGGGGTGGAGGGATGACCGTCAATGCAATAGCAATAGCAATAGCAGTAGACTTATATACCGCTTCATAGGCCTTTCAGCCCTCTCTAAGCGGTTTACAGAGTCAGCATATCGCCCCCAANTTTTTTGATTGTAAGCCGCCCTGAGTCCCCTCAGGGAAAAGGGCGGCCTATAAATAAATAAATCTACAAATCTATCTAATGGGTCTGTGGGAGGTAATTGGCAGCAGGCGGTCTCTCAAGAAACTTAAAAACGGTCTCTGAAATACCAATATCACGTGGCAAATTTTAAAAAAATAACGTCGTTACAAATATGTCGGCCGTTGACAGTTGAATAAAATCCGTCTTTTTTAATTTTTGTAGGATTCATTCACCACAGTTCCAACGATGCCGTAGTCTCCGAGGAAGCTGACGAAACGCAATCCCGTCCTTCGAAGGGGAAGGGAGACGCGGTGGCCTTGGATGAGAAAATCAAAATGCTAGAAGTTCAGGGGGCCTCGCTTAGAGAGAAGTTGGAGAAGGAGGGAAACGAGAAGGAGGGATTTTCCAGGGAAATTGCTAGATTGTCTCAAGCTCTTTCTTTAGAACAGGAACGAGTTTCCGGCTTGAATAGGGAGCTCCAGCAACAGCGGGCAATTCAAGAGGAGGCAACACTTGAATTAGCCGCGCTGAAAGAGAGGAATAAGAGCCAGGAGGAAAAAATCCAGATTCTGCTTCAAGAGATAGGTGCTGCTAGCCAAATCTCCGTAGAAGAAAAACCACAGGTAAAGACACTTGATGCAGAATTGGGTTTATTGAACAGGTCATGCCCTGTGGTAGACGTTGACTTGGCAAAGCAAGAAATTATGTCAGGAGATGATGACCCTTTGCCAACTCGTGTTAATGCTGATCCAAAAAGCACATTCCATTGTAGCGTTGAAGGCATCTGGAGAATAAGCCAGCAGATCATCAACGCCTCGTCTCAAAAAACCGGTTGCATTTCAGACCTCATGCAACAGATTGAACAGTTGAAGAGGAAAACGTCCCAGGCCGAGGAGGAGAAATCTCAGTTGACATTGAAACTGAGCGAAACTATAAGTCAGAGAGATGCGTTTGTGCAGGAGAAGACGTCCCTCCTTAACCAGCTGAGGGACCTGGAGCAGAGAAACGCTTTTTATGCTGAAAAATATAAGGAAGAGGAAAACAGAGCCGTTGAGAGGATAAAAACAAATGAGGACTTATTGGAAGAGTGTAGGGCAAAAGATGCCCGAATCGTTTCTTTAGAGAAAACGCTGAAAGATAAAGATTTGGCTATTTTAGCGATGAAACAATCCGTTCGCGACGTGGAAGAGAAACTTGGCATTTCAGAAGCCAAAATTGGAAGATTGGTGGATCAGGAATCACAACTGAAGGTGGAGGTTCTAGACCTGAAGAGATTGAATGAAGTTGAAAGAGAGAAGAGTGAAGAGTTGAAGCAAGTCACGAAAGGGTAAGTTTTTTTAATTGTCTTCCTGCTAAATAATACATGGATCCAAATATAAATATCGGGGTGAAATTAGACCATGCACATTCTTTCCTTTCAAGAAGTGCTTAATTTAGGATATTTTCTAGGAGTTGAATTCCCACTTCTAGGCTTGCGTAGTTGAAGTCATTGAATAACCTATTGTCTTAATGTAAGTCGGTCAATTTCCTGTTCCCTTGATTCGAGAAAAATAACCACATTTCTCATTGTCATCTCTGAACCCGTTTCTAAAAGTTAAGTGAAAATGGTCTAAAAGAGTATAACAGCTGGTGACAGCGATAAGAGACCAAAACAGAAGACAGCAAAGCTGCAGACTTCTTTTTTTTTTTAATTGAAAATTTTAGGAAAAAAAACTTTTACAAATG